CCTCTCTCACTGTGACTCTGTCAAATGGATAAATAAAATCTTTAAAAAAAAAAGTCAAGCCACAGACTGGAGAAACAGTAATGTATCTGACAAGGGATTTCATCCAGAACACAGAACTACAGTTCCATAATAAAAAAAGGCGTGAACAGGTTAAGATGGAGAAATGGCCAACAAGCACGTGACAAGGTGCTCGCCATCCTGAGTCACTAGGAAAATGCCAATTCCAGCCTGGAGATGCCACCTGATGCCCAGCAGCAGGTCAAAGTAAAAGGAGGCTGGTTCCAACCACTGGGTGGCCGGGAGCAGCCAGGGCTCCGAACACATGGCTGCTGGACATGCAAGGGGGCACCAGCGGGGTCCACACCTGCTCCAGGCCCAGCCTCTGCCCTCCATACCCATGCAAGACGGCACACGGGTCCAGAGCAGCTCCACTCAGAATGATGTGAGAACAAAGGCAAAAGAGAAATTATTAAATTTCCTTACTCCCTACAGCCCATTGACAAGTCCTTGAAACAGGCAGAGTGACCTTCCTCTAGGGACTCAACTGCCTCAATATTAATACTTTGCTAAGGGGAAAAGGCAATCCTAGCCTGAGCCCCCTCCCCCACCCCCAGGATCCTGTAAGTCTACTTTAATGTATAAAAATTCCTTTGGAAACTTCCTTTATCTCTAACCCCCCAAAGATACAGGTTGGCAATCATCCCCCAAGCATACGGCCCACTGATATACATCTGAAGGGTCTCATGACTCAGGTTTTATTAAACGGTTATAAATGATGTTTTCCCAACAATAGCTAGCCCCCTCAAGGTCCTGGAAACCTCGCTTCCAAAATTCTTTAGACACTTACATTATCCCTAACCCACTCCCAACTTGAAATTATCTAATGGGCCACTCCTGCTGACCCCATTGCAGTTCTTTCTGCCCCCCCACCCCGGGTCCTGTCCCTGTGCTTTAATAAAACCACCTTTTTGCACCAAAGACATCTCAAGTATTCTTTCTTGGCCGCTGGCTTCAAACCCTAATAATGTCTTTCCTACATCAAGAACGGCACCAAACTCCTGGAAAAGCAGAGCTGACACGCGGCTGAGGCGGAGGATGCTCACCTCTGGGGCTGGACTGGGCGGGGGCGGGCGGATGCAGGAGCTGGGAACAGTGGCGGGGGCGGTGGGCAGCGAGAACTTGTACATCCTCACAGAGGATGCGGGTCACACAAGTGTGCACAGCTCATCCACTCGGACACTTAGGATCTGAATCGCACGTGTAAGTAATAGCTCAGTTTTTTAATTGTCAAAAATTAAAGTGAAAACATCCAATAACCACATCAGAGGAACAGAAGAGATGTGAACAAAGCAGCAACAACGGGAAGCCGGCACCGGGGAGGAGGAGACAGCAGAACAGCATCTCCCGAGCTGGACGGTGAGCCGACGGTAAGCCTCTCCGCTCCGCTCCGGTGAGGGTGTGTGGCAGCCAGGCCAGGCCCTCCCAGCGAAATGCAGACGCCCGAGGACAGAGGGCAAGTCCCACCTAAGGAGCACCCGGCCAAACGGACATCAAACCACGTAGCCCGCGACATATTCTCTCCCATGGGACAACCAAAGCTTCCTTCTGGCACCCCTGGTCCAGCCATCACTGCAAGTGTGCCCACAAATCCCAACACAACCCAGCGGAAGGGGGTGCGGCAAAGCTGGCCACCAGGCCTAGCCATGTGGGGGAGGAGGACCGGGCGCCGGGGTGCTCCCCACCCCCACAGGCTTCTGCATCAAGCATCACAGACTCCCTTCCAACCAACCACCATCTGGAGGAAATGCAGAATGCTTTACATGCTGCATTTCGGCATCACCCGGCAGGAGAGAGAGACTTCATGGACTTTCAAAGTGTGTGTCATAAACATCATAACTAACAAGCCCCAAGCCCCCAGAGGGAGAGGAGGGTGCCCTGCGGATGCCAAAGGGGATGAATCCAAGACTCAGCGGGAACGTGGTCAGACTTCCAGGACGGTGCCTCTCGGGTTAGGCTGGGCCTGGACGTGGGAGGCGGGAGGCAGCAGACCTCATTTATACTCTAAGCCACCTGACTATTTTTAACTACATGACACATTGCTTGATAATTTAAAAGGTCAGCTGGTGTGTCCTCAGAGCGCTGCCCAGTGCCCCTCACAGAGCTGGCCCTGGTCCTGGTCACTGTGTGCTGATGGCTGGTCAGCCCCATCAGTTCAGCAACGCCACAGCGGGAGTACCACTCTGTGGGATGAAGTCCAAACTGATGCGCTGGGACGCCTTGAGGTCATGAGCCAGGGCAGGAAGGAATACCCCCAGTCCTGCCAGAGTCAGGCTGTTCCTACATGGGGTGGGGTCTGGCTGGGCAGGTCACCCCACCAGACACAGAGGAGAGGTCCCACCCACCAGGTGCCCCAAAGATAGTGGGAGCTAATCAGATAGAGGATAAAAGCCTTCTGGGATAACGCTGTCTCATCTCCTATAGGAAAAGGACCTAGCCGGTCAGGGGCAGCACCCGCCGAGCAGGGGCACGCAGCCCAGTGGTCACAGCCCTGGGTCCGACGAGCCTCTCCCACACAACCCGCGGTCCAGCAGCTCTGCCCAAACAGAGGCGACAGGTGAAGTCCTTTGACCCAGGGGGCCCCCGGCTGCCTCTGGGGCTTCTGCAGCCCTCTCCTCAGCCAGGCAAACCCCAACCAACCCCATGAGGAGCAGAGCTGCCCGGCCCCCCAAGCCCAGGTAGGCGAAGGTGGGGTCCACACACAGAGCACAGCGAGGAGGGGCGTGAGCAGCTAGAAAGACAGTGCCCAGACTCAGCAAAGCCGGAGTCCTGGGGTGACGAGCTGGCACGCGCCCTCTCTCCAGCCTGTCTGGTCGTAAATCAAAAGAAAGCCTGAGGATCTTTGTTGAGAACTGTCCCAAGTCAGGGAATCGGCCCAGGATGGGGGCTCCAGGGACGGCTGACCCAGGATGAGGGTCTCTGTAATCCCTAGCGCCCCCCCCCCCCCGCCGTGCGAGGGCCCCTCCCA